GGACGGCAAGACCTCTGGCGATGGGGACAAAATACTCTCGCATTTTGTGGACGATGTTATACAGTCTTCGCCCCTCCCCCGTTGTCCAAAAAGTTTTATCATCAACCCACAGTCGGGTACGGTCAATCAGATCTTTCGCCATGCCTTCCTTTCATACCCGGCTTAAAAGGAGGTCGTCATCCTCCCGACCACCTCTGGTCTCGCCACACGCCACCTCCCACTCGACTACTGGGAGCTCCTCTCTGGCCCTCGATATGGGTGCCACATTGCCTGAAGTTTACGCACCCGCAGCAGTGACCGCCTCGCTCCCAACTGCGCACGCGTCTGCCAGGACCCCCCCCCCCTCCTTCAATGGAGCCTTCCTTATCAGCCGTGTTGCGTGGATGCGGCTGAGACGGTGTGGCAGGCAGTCCACCATGAGGTGGTCTTTCGTCAGTAGCGCCACGTGCCCCGACTGCCATCATTGTGGTGGCTTGTGTGACATTGCTCTGTCGACGTCGTTCCAACGGCTCGTCATCATCACCGCTAACATCGACGATGACCTCCTTCTCCGAGCGCATTTCGCGGGCACGCACGTGATGCGCCTCCGGTGGAGGCGCCAACAATCTCCTCACAGCGCTGTGATCTGAAGAACAACCACTCTCCCGACCTGCGGACACGGTCTCCTCTGGCGCTTCTTCCTCCGTCGCGAAGACGTCGTCGTCGTCACCTTCGTCTACTGTCGCCCAAGCTTGCGGTCGACGAGGAGGCACGCTTCTTGAAGCATCATCCGAACGAAGCCTCTTCGCCTTCGGGATATGCCACCGACCCGTTTCCCACCCTTGCGTGTCCGCAGGGACGATATCCCGCTTCTTACCACGAGCGCCGACTCACGTAGACATGCTTCGTGCTTCCCTCTCCAAGCGAGTTTGGCGGTCGGATCGGATGAGCGGGAATAAAAGGTTGACCGCTGATGGGAGTTCCGCCGATCTGGTGAGAACAACGTGCCACGTACGGATCGCAGGTGGCGACGACTGCGTTTGCGATGACCCAGAAGAAGTGTCATCGGCGCACAGATGAGCACGACGTCCACGTGTACGAGAGGAGGACAACGACCCCGACGAGACTGCTCCGCGGCGAGAAGAAGAGAAGAGCGACGACGCCGAACCTCCACGTGGCGAGACAGATCCGTGGCGATAAGGAGAGAGTGTTCCGCCGTAGATTGACCCAAAGTCGTCACTCACCGAACATCCACGTGTCCATAGAGCTCCGCGGCTCCAACGCGAGGAGAGTGACGGCGCCGAATCTCCACGTGACAAGAAGGCGAGAAGAGCTACGACAGTGATCCTCGACGACACTTAAGAAGTCCCCGGCGAGGAGGCGAGAGATGTCCGCGGTGAGCAGGCGATAGAGGTCAGCGGCGAGGAGGCCAAAAGATGGAGGGCGTCCCACGTGGTTGTGCGCGCTGTGCAGTAGGTTTGGCGGGCGTTTGTGCTGGAGACACCACGAGCGGACGACCTTTATGCAGGACGGGACGTAGACGCCTCAATGAGACGGAGCAGATGGACGGGCCTCAACGTCGCTTCTTCGGCTGGTGGCATCGTCGACAGTGACACGTGCGACCGCAACATTTCAGACCGCGTATGCACACCCACCCTTCATCTGTTGTCACTGCTACCCTCCCCAAGCCGCCAACAGGCTTTTCGACGCCCCTGCCGACACGCGTTAATGCACTCGCCAGGGAATCGAAAAAAAAAAAAAAAAAAAAACCTTC